TTAGTGTGACGATTCTGTAACTCTATATATAACTGTATGTGGCTTAGTGTGACGATTCTGTAACTCTATATATAACTATGTGTGGTTTAGTGCGATGATTCTGTTACTCTATATATAACTATGTGTGGTTTAGTGTGACGATTCTGTAACTCTATATACAACTATGTGTGGCTTAGTCTGACGATTCTGTAACTCTATATATAACTACGTGTAATTTAGTGAGACGATTCTGTAACTCGATACATAACTATGTGTGGCTGAGTGTGACGATTCTGTAACTCTATATATAACAATGTGTGGTTTAGCGTGACGATTCTGTAACTCTATTTATAACTATGTGTGGTTTAGTGTGACGATTCTGTAACTCTATATACAACTATGTGTGGTTTAGCGTGACGATTCTGTAACTCTATATATAACTGTATGTGGCTTAGTGTGACGATTCTGTAACTCTATATATAACTATGTGTGGTTTAGCGTGACGATTCTGACACTCTATATATAACTGTATGTGGCTTAGTGTGACGATTCTGTAACTCAATAGATAACTGTATGTGGCTTAGTGTGACGATTCTGTAACTCTATATATAACTGTATGTGTCTTAGTGTGACGATTCTGTAACTCTGTATACAACTATGTGTGGTTTAGCGTGACGATTCTGTAACTCTATATATAACTATGTGTGGTTTAGTGCGATGATTCTGTTACTCTATATATAACTACGTGTAATTTATTATGACGATTCTGGAACTCTATATATAACTAGGTGTAATTTAGTATGACGATTCTGTAACTCTCTATATAAAACTATGTGTAATTTAGTATGACGATTCTGTAACTCTCTATATAAAACTATGTGTAATTTAGTGTGACGATTCTGTAACTCTATATACAACTATGTGTGGCTTAGTGTGACGATTCTGTAACTCTATATATAACTATATGTGGCTTAGTGTGACGATTCTGTAACTCTATATATAACTATGTGTGGTTTAGCGTGACGATTCTGTAACTCTATATATAACTGTATGTGGCTTAGTGTGACGATTCTGTAATTCTATATATAACTGTATGTGGCTTAGTGTGACGATTCTGTAACTCTATATACAACTATGTGTGGTTTAGCGTGACGATTCTGTAACTCTATATACAACTATGTGTGATTTAGCGTGACGAGTCTGTAACTCTTAATGTGACTATGTGTGGTTTAGTGTGACGATTCTGTAACTCTATATATAACTGTATGTGGCTTAGTGTGACGATTCTGTAACTCTATATAAAACTATGTGTGGTTTAGTGTGACGATTCTGTAACTCTATATATAACTTTATGTGGCTTAGTGTGATGATTCTGTAACTCTATATATAACTATGTGTGGTTTAGTGTGACGATTCTGTAACTCTATATATAACTGTGTGTGGCTTAGTGTGACGATTCTGTAACTCTACATAAAACTATGTGTGGTTTAGCGTGACGATTCTGTAACTCTATATATAACTTTATGTGGCTTAGTGTGACGATTCTGTAACTCTATTTATAACTATGTGTGGTTTAGCGTGACGATTCTGTAACTCTATATATAACTATGTGTGGTTTAGTGTGACGATTCTGTAACTCTATATATAACTTTATGTGGCTTAGTGTGACGATTCTGTAACTCTATATAAAACTATGTGTGGTTTAGCGTGACGATTCTGTAACTCTATATATAACTGTATGTGGCTTAGTGTGACGATTCTGTAACTCTATATACAACTATGTGTGGTTTAGCGTGACGATTCTGTAACTCTATATAAAACTATGTGTGGTTTAGTGTGACGATTCTGTAACTCTATATATAACTGTATGTGGCTTAGTGTGACGATTCTGTAACTCTATATACAACTATGTGTGGTTTAGTGTGACGATTCTGTAACTCTATATATAACTATGTGTGGTTTAGTGTGACGATTCTGTAACTATATATAACTGTATGTGGCTTAGTGTGACGAGTCTGTAACTCTATATATAACTGTATGTGTCTTAGTGTGACGATTCTGTAACTCTATATACAACTATGTGTGGCTTAGTGTGACGATTCTGTAACTCTATATACAACTATGTGTGGCTTAGTGTGACGATTCTGTAACTCTATATATAACTGTATGTGGCTTAGTGTGACGATTCTGTAACTCTGTATACAACTATGTGTGGTTTAGCGTGACGAGTCTGTAACTCTATATATAACTATGTGTGGTTTAGTGTGACGATTCTGTAACTCTTAATGTGACTATATATGATTTAGTATGACAATTATTAACTCCGAATATAGCTAGGTGTGGTTTAATATGATGAGTATGTTACTCTTAACATAAGTTTATATGATTATGTGTAACGAGGGGACTTACCTGACTATGTTGTCGTGATCTTCCCTCTCTACTGTTTACAATTCTAACCATACAAGAGTCATTACGAGGGGACTTACCTGACTATGTTGTCGTGATCTTCCCTCTCTACTGTTTACAATTCTAGCCATACACGGGTCATTACGAGGGGACTTACCTGACTATGTTGTGATCTTCCCTCTCTACTGTTTACAATTCTAACCATACACGGGTCATTACGAGGGGACTTACCTGACAGTGTTGTCGTGATCTTCCCTCTCTACTGTTTACAATTTTGACTGTTCACGGGTCATGACCTGTCCTATATGATGAGTACTATTCATGACCAGTATGTAGTATAGTGCGTGATCTACATAATGTACATTACATCTGGTGGTCTAATTCGGCGATTGACCGGGTACAAGAACATGTACAGTACAACTGCCAACTACGGCCCTTGATGTTTCCTGTCCATGAAGGTGATAAACTCACGGAATGTAATATCAAGTTCTTCCTATGGTATATAACCCCCAGATTCGGTTACAACACAAATATCTAGGGACACCTAATTACATGGACTGGAAAACAAAGATTGGGTCAACTCAGCAATAAGAAAGACAACTGCTACAAGTGCGGGTCTGTGTGACACATAGAGACAGACTTGTTTTAGGCTTTGCCCACTTGTCGCCAATCAAGATTCGAAAATAGGAACACTGTCTGCAGTTAATGACACCTGAACTATTATTTACTGTATATATCTAAACAGTGCAGGTATATTCCTGAAGTTGAATATAAAGCACATTCTTTGTTTATAAAAAATGTTACTTTCATGTTTAATGTACACCTTTCAAAACAGATTAAAAACTGGTTAAAATGAATGTACAGCCATTTCGTCCTTCCAGCACTTGTCAGTGCTGTTAAGAGCAGAACTTATAGTAAACCAGGAGAATACAGAAATGTGTCGAAATGAATCTCAAAATCAAGATGGGGAGGTGTTCTAACCACAACACTAAATAAAGGTCATAAGTCGGAATTTAAAAAAAATTAAAGTGCGTGTGTAGAAATGCTAGTATTAGAATCAATTATTTTGAAGACTACCAGCACTTTCTACTACATGCAATCTCGTTAATTATACAAAAGACAATCGAGTTAAATACTTTTAAATACAATCAAATACAATTGAGCTAGATATTGAAATAAACTTCATCATACAGCTGTTTCGTACGTCTAGGAGTTTCTCATGTGGAGTAAATAAAAAATGTTCAATCCATTTACAAAGACTAATACTCAAGTATTTTTTATTAATATGAACGACTAAAGAAATGAAATGGTGAAATGCAGACATGTTAACAGTTCTAAAATAATCATACACATAACTTACTACTTAAGTCTCATTATTTCATGTGTAAAGCTGATGAACAATTTTATTCAGATTGAAGGCAAGGTACTTTCTTTTGAGTTAAACGTCTCAGTCAAATATGTATACTGATGGAGGATAGTTAAACATTTAATAGCGCTAAAACAGGATTACGGCAAAAAGCTAAAAAAAAAAAAAAAAAAAAAAAAAAAAAACAATTTTAGTGGATTTCAAATAACAGTTATAAAGGTACAAGTGTATCCGGTTTTCACTTGTTGGTTATGACATAAAATGTTAGATACTGTAGATTCAGTGACAAACAACAAACAACACGCTCACTTGATCTAAATAGCAACGCATGTACTTAACATCTTGGCGTGTTTCCTTCCTCCCTTAAGCATGGTTTGTACAATATATATTGATAATGTGATGAAATATACACTATGTATTCGTTAAAAAAATTTACTAGTCAAGCATGACACATGTGAAAATGTCTTTTTCTATTCATGATTATCAGTTCTTTCTGTTCATTTCCTTTACAACCGCCATTGGTTTTGCTCTCCATATTTGAGAGGTTTAGAAATTTACACACACACAAACCTCCTCGTCGTCGTTTTCGTCGTCGTCATGAATTCCTTTTTGCGTTTTAACAATCAAAAATAGCGAGCGTTATGTAACATGAAACACCATTCCCTTAATCGTTCCACAGAGTACTTCAAGCAGAAGTGAAGATGACATCAAGGTACTCGTCTTTCATTTATCATAAACGAATGAGTTTTCACGCCTCATGAACAAATCTAACAGTTTCGATTACGACATGATCCATACAACGGTTAATAACCATAAACCATAAATGTTTTCATAATACCGAATTCTTTTTAATATGATTCAGAAACTAATTGCATAAAAATGATTAAATTTGCAAACACTTTGATGAATCTCGGCTCATATGCATAATTACTTTTCCTTAACGTGAAAAAAATTATTGGGCAGCCACTAATTAATTATCTGATGACTGCCACTCCTAATTTCTAATATTCTAAGTATTGAAAGATTCATCATTGATATAATTATTAAGTCAAAGCTCAAAATAGGATAGCAGCGGGAAAAAAATATTATTACAACATCAAATCATCCGATAAAATAACCTGTCAGTAACAAATCATACTAAACACAAATTAAGTGAATGAAATAGATTCATAACATAATGAAGTATATGAAGTATATTAACATCATTACTGAAATAATGTTATTCCATATTGTAAAGCGTGACGCATGTAACTTAATCAACACACAATATTCATCAAAGATAACAGACAGAAGATATTAAATATAACATAAGGAGTAGTATATAGAACATATGGCAATAACTCTTTAGATATTGGAGTACAGACTGGAATCGTAGTACTCAACATGCATGTCTGTTGCACAAACTTGTATTGTTACTGTCACAATCAGAAGACTGAAATCGTTTTAGGAAGTCAACAGCTTTGTCAAAATTTTGAAAGTATCTTGATAAGATGGTATTCAACATCAGATGTTTAAGCTGGAATTTTTGCGGTTCGCTTCTTTTATCATTTAGTGTTTTTGCACGAGGAACTTGCTATTTATATATGATCGTAATTATCATCATCAATTACTTGGGCCGAAGAACTTGCTACTATCATATGATTGTAATTATCATCATCAATTACTTGGGCCGAAGAACTTGCTACTATCATATGATCGTAATTATCATCATCAATTACTTGGGCCGAAGAACTTGCTACTATCATATGATTGTAATTATCATCATTTACTTGGGCCGAAGAACTTGCTACTATCATATGATCGTAATTATCATCATTTACTTGGGCCGAAGAACTTGCCTTTGTCATATGATCATTATTATCCTTTGACCTCGTTATTTTCATATGACTGTAATTATCATGATGAGAATTGGATGATGTTACGACATTTTTCACATGATCATCCCGAGAACTATTGTTATTAGCATTTCCTGTGTCGATCCGTCCAATTTCATCACAGTTGGTGTTCCTATGGCGATCACTGTCTATCCTGGCAGTATCCGTCTGTGACTCTTCATTAGGGATGTATTCATTATTGACGAAATCGACATTAGAAGAGTTTTCAACTTTCTGGTAATTGAGAGCATTCAGAATATCAAGCTTCCTTGACCTTGAAATAGGAAATAATAGAAGTTTCATTTGGTGCAATTTATGGAGATATGTTTAATGTTTCTGTATGTCTAATGGTGGGATTACATTGCTTGGAACAAGTATCTCTTTCGTCTAAAATGTTATCCTCTGGTGTAGTAGTTGTTTTATTAAGTAGATTCTGAATGGTTTGTAGAGCTTTGTAATATTTTCGAAACTGAAATAGTCATTGTGTATATAAATACCTTTGGGCTCTCTTCACAAATAATATCCCCATGACGAAAACGGTTGTCACACAAATCAACCCGGCAATCAACCCTATTATCAGCGTCACATTTACAGCTAAAACATAAAAACCCGGCAGTCAGCCATCTATTATCAGCTTCACATTTACAGCTAAAACATAAAAACCCGGCAGTCAGCCATATTATCAGCATCTCATTTACAGCTACGACATAAAAACCCGGCAATCAACCCTATTATCAGCTTCACATTTACAGCTAAAACATAAAAAACCCGACAGTTAACCCAATTATCAGCGTCACTTTTACAGCTAAAACATCAAAACCCGGCAATCAACCCTATTATCAGCATCACATTTACAGCTAAAACATAAAAACCCGACAGTTAACCTAATTATCAGCGTCACATTTACAGCTAAAACATCAAAACCCGGCAATCAACCCTATTATCAGCATCACATTTACAGCTAAAACATAAAAACCCGACAGTCAACCCTATTATCAGCTTCACATTTACAGCTAAAACATAAAAACCCGGCAATCACCCCTATTATCAACGTCACATTTACAGCTTAAACTTAAAAAAAAAAAAAAAAAAAACAGTCACCCTATTATCAGCGTCACATTGACATTTTTTAACCAAATTTCATTTTAAAGTTATCAAGAAAATTGTCAGATGAACACCTTACTTGAATGTTCACATATAAACGGACGCTTTTCTTCACATGGTACATATGTAACAGATTCTTCTGTCTTTCGAAATGTCCCGCATAAAGATGAACTTTTGATGTGAAGGGAACCTGAAATATAAGTATTTATAAATCTAGAGAATGTTTGTTTCGACTCATGTGCTATTTCATATGGTATTTTTGTTCGTTAGATATTGATCAGAATATAATAAGAATGAGAATCCATTGCAATGTAAGTTAAATTGCTTTGTGCGTCAATTGCTAGAATGTTGGTTCATACGATATTTACATCGTAAGGAATAAAGTGTTTATATTACAACACGTGCACAAAAAACTTTAAGTTGGGTTAACTTACTTGAAGCATATTCGACAATATCAAATCCAAATCCACGGGTCCAAAATTCGTCTCTGCCAGTGATTCGAGAAATGTTTTCCATACAGGTGAACGAATCTTGGCTACATGTTGGTAGGTCCGTTCTATTCGCATAGCATTTCATTGAAGCTTTAGTCCAGTTCATAGGTCTCATGGACACTTCTACAAGATTACATACTATTAAGATACATGTACGTAGATGTCACTCTTTCTTAAATTGATTCAAATCAAATTTCATTTACCTAGAGTTTGAGACAATCCAACCTCAAGACAGATGACAGACGGTAAAATATCAAGAAACGTGACGTTTCAATGACTACAATGCCACCTTCATTATATAAAAGACCAATATGGAGCGTATTAGCACTACTGGTTGAGGAGGCCATCTGGACAGGCCGCAGCGGACAAGCATTAAACAGGGACAGGGGGCTATAGACTCGAAACGTCATACACAAATTTTCTACTGGTTATGTTATGAAAACTTCTGTTCTAAGGAAATTGGGTTGTTTTCATCTATAAATGGAAAGTATAATAGTGATGAAATCCCTACACTTAGTGACAAGTAGTTGACGTCTTTTAAAGTAAAGATTAATGTAAGCGACAGAAAAACTCTCCAACGGCGTTAGCTTTTCACGAAAACATTTCAAAGCATAAGATGGAACTCACCGTTTTCACAAACAACTGGCAATTCCTGTTGACATCCAGTCAAAGTCAAGCCTCTACCATCACCTCTCTTCCATTTTGCACACAACATTTCATTTCTCCTGTTGATGTAGTTAAGCGGCAAAGAAAAGCCTGCACAATAAACATTTACAGATAAATATTGCTTGATCTTTACAATTTATGATATGGTCATGTTTGTACTGAAACGAGCATCTAAATAATCAATAATAAGCAATACGTTAAATGATAAACAAAAAAGTATGCTATATGCTGTATTTACTACATATTATCCTAAATACAATAAACATGTATACATATCTGTGGTTCACAAACTTGTTGCAGTGCCGCCTGGGCAATAAACAAAGAATTACCAATATAATTATGTTCATAATTAAACAAAACAGTATATGTGTATTTTCGGTTCCCCAACCGTCTCTATTTGTTACCGGCTCTACTGCTTCTAAAGATATTTGCAAAAATATATCTTTTTCAAACGGAGACTACCCTTGCTGTCGCAGTGATCCTAATTGAAATAGAAAATAATTCTACTCAGCAATTAAGCCTATCTACAATATGGCAAGTTACCAGGCCTGTGGTGTGCATAGGCTAGATAAGAGAGAGACAACTGAGCCGAGTAGTCAATGACTAAGTTAGATGATATCGTACAAGGTTCACCTTCCGAAATTGTTACTTTTAAATTCCAACTTCCTCTGTTTATCGAGGCTGGCATTAAGTTACACCATGCACTAGATAATGTGTGCGTTTAAAAGTGTCAATATCACAAAGCTTCTAAACGACTCGGCTACTTCTTTCCTTTTCAGTAGCAAGCTACTACCAAATCATTTATAAGTCAGCTGCTTATGCACTATGTTATATTTGTATTTGCTGATTTTTCCTCCAATCTAATATGTTAGTATGAAACTAGTGAATCGAATATCGTTTCCCAGCACACGTTTTACTTTTCGGCTGTATCTTGTGCCATTCGAAGGCCTTGGCCAATATCAGGATACTTTAAATATCTTATTCTTTAACGTGTTCTACATTGTTCTGTCTGAACAGGTCTAGTTTCGCTTTATCTGTCTCGCTAAAACAGATATACTTTCGTATAACATATAACATAAATACAAGTAATATTTAAATAATACTGAATGTAAAACATGAAAGTGTAGGTGCACTCACCTAATTTTGATTGATTCTGGATAATGAGTGACTCAAACTTTATAGATATAAAATATGTGAATGATTTTGATGCTGTTTGAATATCCGTTAACAATTAGACATGAAATGATTGGTGATTAAAATTGTTCTTGCTTAAAGTAGTCATAAGTAGAGCTTAAAAGTATGCTTCCGAAAGACAAATAATACATAATAACATCTTAAAGCACATGTTGAAGGTTACAACAACCCGTGCACATTAATGTATACTTTGGAAACAGCTATGTTGCGTATGTTCAGAAAAATTACGTCATTTCATTTCACGATTTGTGTATGGCCTTGTCCCAGTATTTTTAACCGTCGCCAATGGAAACCGATAAGGACATTCTATCATAATTCGAATTTATATATAAAATAATCCAAAATTGCTTTATTTCTGTCAGTTTGAATACACATATAGATCAGTGTTGTAGTGGATATAGTAGTATTATAGTTTGTCTTATTCCAAAAGGATATATAGAATCTTGTAAGTAATATTGACTGTGTGGTCCAATATTGGTACTGGTTGCTAACGTATACATATATATAAAGTAATACCTTGCGTCGTAAAGCGATAGGTTGACATTCGTCCGGTACCACCACAAGAAAGCTCTGGGAGAATGGACCAAGGACAAATTCCTATCCTGATAAAATCGCAATAGAAAGCTCTCCGCATGATAGTTATTTTCGACGCTGTCAAACAATAATAATCGCCTTTCTAAGAAAAAAAAACAAACAAACAAACAAAAGAAAAACATGTTTCAAATCATTCAAAATCAATTTCACTGACAGACACAAAACACAATTTCAAATATGGCAGTGCAAGTAGTACTAACAATGGGTGGAAAACCATTTCGCATATCGGTTGGCCAGTTTGGAAATTAAAAAAAAACAACCGAATTTTATCGTTTTGATTTTATTTGTTTCGCAATTTCATTTCAGCAAATGGACTATATATAATGTTAAATATCTCCACACTACATATTGTGGTAAAGAAATTCAACGAAAAGACATATGTCTTATCATTCCTTAATCCGATATTGATAAAGTATAACTTGAAATTTATCATTTCGTTCTTTATTTTTCTTGTAAATGCGTGTCAATATGATAGATCAAATGTTAGTTACTTCAACTCCGATAAACGTATAATTTCGACATCCTTCCAAACATTCAACAAATGATCCATTTCGTATGGGAACAATCGTTAATTCAGCATCCGGCGGAATTTCAAAACAACCTGTTATGGTCAATAGTAAATACAGCTATTATATGCAAATTAGCATATTGAAAAAATACATCCAGTGAAAGTATGAGTATGAAAGCTTAGCAATGTTTTGAATAACATAAAAAAGATGTTCTATGAACATGAAGGTATCAAAATAACTATTATAACATTCCATGTCTAATGATGTACGTTTAATAAAATGAAACATTAAAAAACTCAACAGTCAATTTAATATGTTAAAACACCTTTGACTAAAGTTTTGTAAGTTTGACAATGGGGAATGGTGTTATTTACAAATTAATGCCAAATAAATCCACAAAGTGATTGTGTTTCCGGATCTATGGAAATTCAGGAATGACATATATGGAAATTATTTTATATAGCAAACGTATATGATTAATAATACGAATCTAGGACAAATGTCTGACAGATAAGAAGAGGAGTTGTGACTGATATTTACCGTTCGATACTATCAAGTTATAGTCACTCTCTATTCGACGTCCTACCCACGCTTTCTCGTGACGCTGCGGTATTTCTATTGAGTTGATATCTTTTACTAACTCACCACCAGACCTCTGGCAGAATCTGACAGCGTCCGGCCATGTCATCCGTTCGTTATGATAAGTAACTGTTCCTGTAAGCAAAGTGTTAAATATACAACATTAATAATGCTTAAAAAAAATAAAAATTGAAAATAGAAAAAAACACACCACCATTAGAAATTATCCTCGGCGCAGTAAATACAAAAACTGAAAATGTTGTGCATTTGTTGCGAATATGGGTGACGCATTGGCGGTTATTATTGAATTGGCTCTTGTCAACTTGCCCGAAGGTAATGAGCGACAGTACATTCAAACCAGTCATCGAAGGGTGCATTGGACAACCTTCAGAAACGAAACGAATGTGTTTTAGTCTGTTTTAGTCTTATCGTGCATTACACCTGTCGTTCACACCATATCATAATAAACTGGTGTCTATGCTCATATAATACGTTCGTTAGTGAATTATTGAAATGCGTTTATCTTCATATATATATATATATATGATATATAACATATATATGATACAGTCATCGAAGAGTAAAATCAATCAATTTCATAAACAGAGAATGAATGATCAGTGTCTTACAATGTCTACAGTATCTTATCAAGGATGAAGAAAGACAATAGACTAATGATACACCGTGATACAGCGCAGAAACATGTATTTGTATGTCATATATCAATATTGTTCTATATCAGCATTGTCCTATTTTAGAATTATTCTATACCAATATGTTTATATAACATAATTGTTCTATATCAACGTTGTTCTATATCAACATTGTTCTAAATCAACATCGTTCTATATCAACATTGTTCTATATTAAAATTGTTCTATATCGACATTGTTCTATATCGACATTGTTCTATATCAACATTGTTCTATATCAACATCGTTCTATATCAACATTGTTCTATATCAATCATTGTTGTATATATCAACATTGTTCTATATCAATATTTTTCTATATCAACATTGTTCTATATCAACATCAATATTGCTCTATATCAACATTGTTCTAATCAATATTGTTCTAAATCAACATCGTTCTATATCAACATTGTTCTATATCAACATTGTTCTATATCAATATTGTTCAACATTGTTCTATATCAACATTGTTCTATTCAACATCGTTCTATATCAACATTGTTCTATATCAACATTGTTTTATATCAACATTGTTCTATATTGACATTGTTCTATATCGACATTGTTCTATATCGACATTGTTGTTCTATATCTATATTGTTCTATATCAATATTTTTCTATATCAACATTGTTCTATATCAACATTGTTCTATATCGACATTGTTCTATATCAACATTGTTCAATTTGTTCTATATCAACGTTGTTCTATATCAACATTGTTCTATATCAACATTGTTCAATATTGTTCTATATCAACATTGTTTTATATCAATATATCAACATTCTATATCAACATTGTTCTATATCAATATTGTTCCATATCAACATTGTTCTATATCAACATTGTTCTTATCATAAATCATTGTTTTATATCAACATTGTTCTTAATCAACATTGTTCTTTATCAATATTGTTCTATATCAACATTGTTCTATATCAGAATTGTTCTAAACAAATATCATTATACACTAGTATTTTTCAATATTGATATTGTTATATATCAGTATGGTTCTTTATCAAAATTATTTTTATCAATATTTCTCTACATCAGTACTGTTCTATAATATTGTTAAATGATAGTATCGTTCTATATAAGTATTGTTATATGGTAGTATTGTTCTAAATAGATGCTGTTATGTATTAGTATAGTTCTTTAACAGAAATGTTTATATCAATATTGTTCTATAAACGTGTTGTTCTATATCGCTTTTGTGCCATATCAGTGTTATACGATATCAGTTTCGGTACTAATATGTCTCCTTACCTGCCCATACAGCAACCACATTCAGAATAATAGTTCCGATTGTAAATATTGAATTAGCATCCATTGTTTGTACTCGTGTGTTACGGCTGGTGTATGGTGTATCCCTTGCTTCTCATTTTGTATAAGACCCTTCATAATACACAAAGAAGCAATCACTAATAAAGTGAAGTGTTTGATGGCGCTGGCCAACATCCGTTTTCTAAGTATTTCCTTGTTTTTGAATACTACAATCATGTTTTAATAGCGATAACGTATTGTAATATATGATAAAATTTACATCATTCATATGTTCATCTATATCTAACATCAAAAAGATGACAAACATTTAAACAATTCCTTTACATAAATATATTTTTCCACAAGGTATGAGGATATGACACGTCGGTCAACTCGGTGACTGATAATTTAATTTAGATATTAAATGTCATTAACAAAGGGCAATAACTCTGTAATTGAGGGATCGAATGCCCTGAATTTGGTATACAGCACATTTGTATGGTATGATTAATTAATCCACCAAGTTTCATTATCCACCAAGTTTTATTTTCTTTGCTTAACTGTGGGCAAAGTTATGCTCCAGACAAGAAATTTTGACAGAGGACAATAACTCTGTAATTGAGGGACCAAGCGCCCAAAATTTGGTACACTGCGCATTGCCTAATTATGATCAATGTATACACCAAGTTTATTATCATAGTTTAAATGCAAGCAATGTAAAGTTTTGCTCCCGACACAAAATTTCGATGATTAAGCGGTCTGGCGCCGTCTCTATGACAGCGGTTATTCTGGGTTATACGGAACAGGAACACAACTTGATCGAAGCTAATTAAACTATTAGATAACGTCATCGTCCCTTATCAGATAACAAAAATATAACAACGTGACGGTTAGGTTAAACCTGTGAGTAACAATACAGGATACCGACATTAACCTTTGTAACACATTCAGTTCTGAGGATCATTATTTTAGTGTTGTATTTTAGTGTCAAGATAACGGTTAATGAATACATGAATGAACAAAAAATGACACAAAACTAACTATGGGCATTTCTGCCTTCGTATGCTTGTGCTGAAGACATAAAAGTTACCAGTAGGTTTCAGTTCTTTAGAATTCTATACAGTGTACCTAATGGCTGAATGAAACTAGCATTTTACAGTAATTTTACTGTAATTGCATTGGGGTTACTATGTATCGCATGGCACACCAATTAACATTATCCCATATAATACCTATTCCTAGATTTTTCTATCTCGCCCGATCTGGCTAGTACCGTTACATGCGTTTTCGCGAAATATTTTACGCATCGGTGTATTCATCCGCGTGTAGGCGTAGGTGGCACCTACACCTGTGCATTCCAACAAAAAACGTAGGTTATGTCGTTGTTAATATTTCAACGATATTCTATTTAATTAATCATATTCGTGATATTGTAGATAAAATAAGATTTTAACTGTAAAATGGGTTGTATATTTTGTAGGTGCGGCCTACATTCTTTACGCGGCACAATCCGAACATTGTTTAAAAGTGAAGAGGCTGTGTGGGTAGTTTGAGGCTCCCACGGGATACGCCAAACTCTGATGAAATATTGAAAAATTAGTAAGTGCGAGAAAAAAATATATCATCTGTAACTGAGCGAGATCGGGTTATCTCAGTTGAGGGCTAAGATCCTGTAACATCAACTGAGATACCCTGATAATGCTTGTTAGTCTACCTGGTGGTTCTGTTGTGTGATATGAAGTTGGACATGTTTGATGTTCGTTAGTACACCTGGTGGTTATGTTGTGTGATATGAAGTTGGGCATGTTTGATGCTCGTTAGTACACGCGGTGGTTCTGTTGTGTAATATGAAGTTGGACGTGTTTGATGCTCGATGCTATGTCTGATGGCTGCTATGTCTGATGGTTATGTTGTGTGACTTAAGTTGGTATGCCTGGTGGTAGTTAATTTAACTAAGATTTACAGAGGCAGGAGACACTTACTTTTACGGAACACCTGGTCTTGTCTTCCTTGAACTTTTCATGAGTTTCCGTATGATTTTTTCTCTTCTTCTTTTTTTATATTTTCCTTTGATTCGTTGAATAAAATTCTATTGGCATGTCGGCATTTCAAATGAACAGTCATGTTATACCGGAAGCGGTTTGTTGCGTCATTGATAACGCCTTTTTTGCACATATACGTAGCAATTTCATGTAGATGTCATATATATATCTTCATATTTAAAGCACATAAAGAATAGATTAACGGACAGAAGCAATCATTACGAAAAGTAAACAAAAAGACAGTATACACTTGTACAAGCATTTTTCGATAAATACCAACGTTGGAGCTGGCAAATTTCAATGAAATTAAAAATATTCTTGTTTAAGTTAATGGATGATAAATGAAGAGCAGCACAAATATGAAAACTATATCTAGCTTTATAGTCAAAGAAATCAGTTCCAATAGGTTACTTCATTTTAGATGTTTGTTTACTGCTTTGTTCACAAAGTATCCAGCTTAGGGAGTAAGAGACTGTATTTTTGTGGCCCGATTGAGTATAAGCACAAAGGCGTTGTTTCTTCTTTCATGTAGTTTATTTAGGTACAAGCAGAGTCATAGTTTGTGAGAGGTGGTGTTCCTTTCTCCAGCGCTCTACTGCCTTCTCTGACAAACCTCAATATCTGTCGTCTATTTAGCCCCACTGCCGAAAAATGACCGTTGATCAAACCCCGCTTAACCCATGTACCTTGAATGATGAATTTACGCTGATGTTAGCTAAATTATTGCTGACCAATACAATCCGTAAATCCATACATACACATACAATTGTATACTGCGTTATTTAATGTGATGAAATCTTCCTGTTTGTAAAGTAATCCTACTTCACCTACTTATAGTCTTCAATGTCTTGCCACATCAGCGTAAATCTTATTAACTAAAGATACATATTAGGTCTGATAATAAATATTAGATCAACGGTACATTGATAACTTTTAATGAAACCAATAATTGATTTTGTTTCTGCTATATTTGTTATAATTTGATGGAACACCATTTCACTATAAGCCATCTGGCTACATTTTGTTTTCATTATTTCACCTATCTAATTAGTCAAAATATTTACTATAAACATTAGTTCTTTTGCGCAAAATTTTGTTGACCTAAAAGATTCCTTTATATATTGCTCATATGGCAACTGTTGTGGGTGGACAAAATCAAAGCGTAATAATGCGCTAAATTTTGATTGCTCCAAAATAAGTACATTTCCAGTATTTGATTTTGAAACAAAATCAACACCGATCTTAACAAAAATGGAATGCTTGTTTATCCGTTACTCACTAAATCAACTCAAATGTTTATATTAATCATCAATGATGTTGTAATTCTTATCTTATTCATTTTATCAAACCAAGCGCACAGACCTACAGGTAAGAATACACGGACGTGAATATCTACTGAGATACAGTGGATTTATATATCAACCTGCTTCAAATTCTATCCTTTGATATCAGTATGTCTTCACAAATCGTAGTCCTAACTTAGCGGTAGGAGACCTGAGATCTTACCCACAGACAGGTAAGAAAAAAATACGTGTTACTTATATATTTCTGAATCATGTATACACATTTATTAATATTTTTCCCAATGGTTTCGCCTTCCGCTATTTTAAAATCATACTGAGTCTGTCTAACATATTCTACTGTCAGTTTAGTGAACTTTTTCATTAAGAAATAGTAATTTGTTTTCTTGCTTGCTGATTATTTATATGTCAAGTTTTTTTCTTGAATCATAACAGAAACATTACTCTCAATTCTGTATCTCACACGAATCGAAACAGTATTATAAAGTGTTATAAAATGTATCAAGGATTTCCTAGTCCTTAATATAGATGGTCGATCCCGTCTCCTTGCAACAGTACCATCCCTCACGTGTTATCACTCGAATTATCAGAAATTATTGTTATTAGTTATTGTTATTTGCTTCTCAGTTAATGCAAGATAACAATTATAGATTTCATAGGCTTAGCTAAATCATATCTTTTAGATATATGTTCCAAAGTGGATAATTTATTCATACAGCCCTCCGCCCTTTTCAGTCAATTGCTGGACTTAATCTTCATTACAAGAATACTTCGTTGTTTTGAAAAGAAAATATATTTTTTTTTCAAAACGTTACATGCATTTGAATATAAGTAGGGGCCCTTTTCATAAAAGCTAAATTACTTGAAATTGTGTTGTGGACGTGTTCTCTTCTCAAATCACCATAGTATTTTGTTCTGTTTTTTAAACTATAAACTAAACAATGTTTTTGTTGAATGTGGTGAAATGTCTATCATAAATAATAAGTAAACAATGGCACTGCTGAATCTCATAACCGATCAGGTCGGCACTATAATCATCATACAACTTCATAAATAATTATTTACAGTTTATCTCTGATTTTTCATTAAAGAGTACGTAATGCTTCTTGAAATCATTTAACACATTTTATTCAGAAAATGACAGACTTAGCAGCCCTCCTTCTGTGCATATTTGTGACGTTGACTGATTCACGAGCAGTGTCACATCATTCATGGAACGTAAACGGTCACCACAATACGCCAAGCCACCAAAGCAACAACGCCCATCAATCTAGCCCTCCAGTCGACAACGCCCCCACGCCATTTCGGACGTATCTCCCAATACACAAAGAGGATACAATCTGGATGAATGTTATACTTGATGGTATACACATGAATGACTTACCGGAAGTCTTTCTTCCTATGGCCGTGTTACGGGAAAGAAAGTCATTGTCATCAAGTGCGCCGTCTAGAGGTGCACGTGACACATCAGTGACTGCGTACTGTGCGACTGCGGAGTGTATTCAGTTGATGATGGAGTACGAGCATTGGAGGAGCGAGCATGGTTATTCTGACACATACGGAAGATGGGGATAATGACATTGGACACACTTCGGGTATTTCCGTCATTCTTTGCAGATTCAGTTGGATGCCACCGAACTGAATTCGTCCTTCATTAAAACCAGTGACAATAAATGTGTAAGGATAATGTATCAATATTCTGTAACTAGCTATAAACAAAGAATTTGAAT